TCAGACACCTCTGTCCCGGGCTTCAGATATCCCTGTCCAGACCCTCAGATATCCCATCCAGGGCCTCTGATACTGGTACAGAGTAGATATCTATGAAATGTTCTTTGAAGCAAAACCCAAACTGTAGATATCTATGAAATGTTCTTTGAAGCAAAACTGGAGTTGCAAAGATGGGCAGCTCAGGGCGGGAACCCCCAAACCAGCACCTCCAGAAAGGTGCTTGGTTCTCTGGCTACCCGTGTCAGTCGGAAGCTCTGGCTTCTTATCTCCTGCCCACTGAGCACCCGCCGATTGCTCCCTTCTTGTGGATGGCTTTAGAACTGGATCTCTAGATTTTCATGTGAAAATAGACTATGTATGTTCCCGAATTTCAGCTCATCACCTAAATGATTTCAGTTACCTCTTTAGGATGGGGAATGGCACGAAAAATTCCTTCTGGTCAAGAGTAAGAACCTGCCTACCATTCTGGAGGAGCAGGTTCCAGTGGCCTGGCTCAGGGACCACCCTTAAGGAAGGGGTGCTGGGCTTGAGCCATGATGAAGAGACAGGTGGAATGAGCCCTGGGATGAGATAACATGCTTTTCTTTATCAGAATTCCAGACCCTTGGTGCAGTCTCCACTAAAACGCCACCAGGTTCTGCTGGGTAGGCCCACCTCACACAGAAAGGCGCAACTGTTCCTTTTTTCTTTTTTTCTGTCTCTTTCTTTCAGATGCTGACCAGAGACTAAATACGTTTTCTGATACCTGGCACTTCCTCTTTGTCTGAAGCCCCTCCCCTGGACCACGTGACTGCCTGCCTCCACATGGCTGACCTCCAGGCCAGCTTAACTCGGACAGCACAGCCTTTCCCCATTCTCGTGGTCCAGACAGCTGCTGAAATTTATAGCTTGCAACCTCGGGGGTTTCTCTTGTGAAGTCTAATGAAACTGTTTTTGAACTTCAACCAACCAACCAACCAACCAACCAACCAACCTACCTACCTACTTGCCAGGACCCACTAGGACAATATGAAAAAGAATCAGTCTGAGGTTCTAGAAGTGAAAAGTTAAAAAATACCCAAATTCAGTAGGCCTGAGTAAAATGCTATACACCAACTGGTATCCTCGCCGGCTTCTTCTATGGGAGAACTTCTCTTCCCAACCCAGTTCTTGGGGACCCTCATGTTGTCACTTGTCCCAAGGCCTGAGCTCATTCCTGCTATGACTCGTAGGAGAGCAGTAAAGCAAAGACCAGGGTGTGTGTGTGTGTGTGTATGTGTGTGTGTGTGTGTGTGTGTGTGTGCCTGTGCTACCTTGCTCCTGAATGAGGCACTCATGGTGGCCACACTGCAGAGCTGAACAAAGCTAGGCTACTACGGAGACCCAGTCTCTTTGGGTCCCCTGAAAAGCACACTGACATGGACGAGTAGAGATGGGGAACAGATAGCAAACCAGTGTGAAAACTAGATGGAGATGGAATAACAATGCTCCCCACCCATCCATCTGTGGATAGAAACGAGAAGAGACACAGTCAAGCAATCGACTTCACTACTGGTCTCCTCTCAATGAGAGGATGTTGAGGTGGAAGCTGGGATTTGTTTGAAACCATGACCCTTACGTGTCTAGGCAGTTGTTCCCTGGCTCTGGCTGTGCTCGTTTTGAGTGTCGTTGTCAGAGACATTTGTACTTTGAGGAAGAAGTAATAGGAGGAAGAGCTGAGGTCTCAGGGGCCAAGACATCCCTTAGCTCCTGCCTGGGCTCATTAGAACAGACGCCACCTAGGGTGGCAGGGCAGGGGGGTCAAGCCACACTGGCATGTCCACAACCCCAATCTTGATCGGCATACTTTTGTGGAAACTGTAGCCTGCTCAGTTTATTCTCCCCAACCTCAGATCCTAGGAAACATTTCGCCATTATCTTCTCACACTCCCGAGAGTAGGGGTTGACCCAGAAGGGCCGTGACAAACAGTACATGTCTGGTCAAATCATGGAGCTCCCTCAGAGACTCTGTCCCCCAGGGCATGCACCATCTGCTCCTCTTTCTCCATCTGGGCATCACAGAAGCCCTTCTCCCTGGGTCAGATGCTCAGCCTTCTGCCACCCTGGGCCAGCAAGCTCCACGGTGGAGCAAGCACCAGGACAACAAGTCTTTGGTTAAA